GAAGAAGACCACAACATATAACATAAGCATCACGTTTCAAAAATGAAAATGACAGAAACAGTTTGAACTCTCTGTTTTGACCTGAACTGTAATAACGTGTACCTAACAATTAGTAAAGATTAATACAAAACAAATGGCCTGATTGTTACGAATTGAACCCATCAATATTCACTCCAGCAAAATGGCAACCATGAACCCATCAATCTTCAGTCACTATGGCAACTATGAACCAATCAATATTCACTCCAGCACTATTAGCTTGGCAAATAGACTCCAATAAGGAATATGACAAACAACATAAGTATAGGTGAAGTATGTATCACTCACTCTTGTATTGGACGGTTTGATCTGTATAACCGTTATTGGACGATTTGCTCTGTGATTGGCGATTGACGGGTGGAGACTGGAGATGCGCCTGGATTGGTGATTGACCGGCAAGATTTGCAGGAGGGTGGAGAGGCGTTGGATTGGCGAGAGGCAGCGAGTCGAGAGGCGGGAGGACTGGGTTTGGGAAATTAGGGATTTATTTTCCTTTTCCAGTTTTAACGTGGTTTTTTTATTTTTTTTTAATTGGGTCGGTTTGGGTCTTTTTATGTGGGGCTTGGGTTGTTAAAATGGGCTAATGATTTGGTTTTGGGCTTAAAAATAAAAAAAATATGAATTCATTTGATTTATTTAATTAATTTGCTAATTTATTTAGATAAAAATAAAATAATTTAATTAACTCAATATAAAAAATAAAAATTTTTTTTTAATTTCGGTTCTTCGATTCTTGATCTAGACTCGAGACCCGATTCAAACTCATCGGTTCTTGATTCGAGTACTCGTTCGGGTATTTAATTTACGAAGAACCGCTCGGTTCGGTTCTGTCCGGTTCGGTGCGGGACTTTTGGACAGCCCTAATGTGAATCGACCTCATAATTAAGGTATGTTCTCTAACCTATCCTCTTCCCCTCTTCCTCTCTTGCATTTATATTTTCCTCGTCCGGCAGTTGACTTGACCGTTGGAGTGCGAATGGTCGTCGGACCTTTTCCTTGACCAGCGGCATTATTTTTTTCATTATTGTTTAAGCCACATTTTTTTTCATTCTCATTCTTCTACTCATTTTCAACTACACATTTTTATCACATCAATAATTTTTCTTTCTTTTTCATTCACATATTCGTCATCACATTAAAACAAAAAAAATGCATTTTTGTATGTGCACCAAAAGGGGCTTAGCAAATATTTATTAAGAAAAAAACTATTAAAAGAAGAGAAATTAATAGATGACTACATTTCAATGGATTATTCTACTTGTACATTAAGAATTACAACCTCAAGGGTTACATAATTTACATGTGGCGATGTACTTGTGGAAAATTTATTATTCTCTCTTATTTTTAATTAGGGTAAATAGAACAGAACGTCCATATATTTTGATGTCATTGTGCAAAACGTCCATACCTTTCATTTTTTGGCATTTTCACCATTACCTTCCACAATTCATTGCGCAAAAGGTCCCTTTCAACCATTTTTCCAATAAAAAGGTGATTTTACCCTTCTATTCAAAAAGAAAAAAAAAAGAAAAATAAATAACCAATTGCAATCATAGTCCTAAATATTTCAAAATATTACAGATAAAGTCTTAAATTCTCCACCACCACCACCACCAAGCCGCCATCTAATCTACATAGCACCACCTTCTGGCCACCACGCCCACCAAACTCCACCACCACTAGGCTCGCTTCACTCTTCTCAACATCATCTCCCATAGTATTAGTCACAAAATCTGTCGAAAATAACCACATTTGCAGCCTAAAATACCAAATTGCCGTGTACAACCCTTCACGACAACCCCACTTTCGGCGCCACCCACGGTCGCACACTACGATCGATGGTTACCCCATCACCTCGACGAACCTATACATGGCCTCACATCAATCTCAAATCATTCTACTGTAATCTAGACATTCGATAATGGGGACGTCCATTTTGCCAAACTCTTTTCCTTCAATTCATGCATCTCACTGCACTAAATCTTCAAATTGGCATCAATCGAACCATCAACAAACCCAAAGACAATGTGTATGAATCTAATTGAACCAATTATCCCCCAACCGTTTCAATTTTTGGTCCAAAACTCTTCACGGGAGCGATGCACGGAGAGAGCTGTTTGGCCAAAATTGATGGGTCCTAAGTGCTCCAATCTTCAAATTCGTGTGAGGGAGGACAATGGAGGAAGTGAAGCGAGGTTGGTGGTGGTGGCTGAACGGTGGTGCTATGTGGATCTATCAGTGGCAGCTTGGTAGGTTGTGAAAGTGGTGGTGGTGGAGAATTTATGATTGAATAATGCTAAGTGTACACAATTTTTTACACAATCTTTTACACCTCTCTCACATGGAAGGGGGNAGAGAGAGGGAGAACGGTTTGAGGGTGAGAGTGAGCGTGAAAGGGAGCGTTTCGCGTGTTTTCTATTTTGGGCCTATTTTGTGTTACCGTTTTACAAAACGACGTTTTTGTTGTTTTTCGTTTTCAGTTATAAATTTTTTTCCATTTTTCAAAATGTGTTTTCGAAAATAAGATAGAGAACGCGTTTTCGTTGTTTTGAAAAATTGAAAACGGAAAACGGCTTGAAAACAGCAAAGAGAACATGGCCTTAGGGATTTGTTTTCCTTTTCCAGTTTTAACGTGGTTTTTTTTTATTTTTTTTTAATTGGGTCGGTTTGGGTCTTTTTATGTGGGGCTTGGGTTGTTAAAATGGGCTAATGATTTGGTTTTGGGCTTAAAAATAAAAAAAATATGAATTCATTTGATTTATTTAATTAATTTGCTAATTTATTTAGATAAAAATAAAATAATTTAATTAACTCAATATAAAAAATAAAAATTTTTTTTTAATTTCGGTTCTTCGATTCTTGATCTAGACTCGAGACCCGATTCAAACTCATCGGTTCTTGATTCGAGTACTCGTTCGGGTATTTAATTTACGAAGAACCGCTCGGTTCGGTTCTGTCCGGTTCGGTGCGGGACTTTTGGACAGCCCTAATGTGAATCGACCTCATAATTAAGGTATGTTCTCTACCCTATCCTCTTCCCCTCTTCCTCTCTTGCACTTATATTTTCCTCGTCCGGCAGTTGACTTGACCGTTGGAGTGCGAATGGTCGTCGGACCTTTTCCTTGACCAGCGGCATTATTTTTTTCATTATTGTTTAAGCCACATTTTTTTTCATTCTCATTCTTCTACTCATTTTCAACTACACATTTTTATCACATCAATAATTTTTCTTTCTTTTTCATTCACATATTCGTCATCACATTAAAACAAAAAAAATGCATTTTTGTATGTGCACCAAAAGGGGCTTAGCAAATATTTATTAAGAAAAAAACTATTAAAAGAAGAGAAATTAATAGATGGCTACATTTCAATGGATTATTCTACTTGTACATTAAGAATTACAACCTCAAGGGTTACATAATTTACATGTGGCGATGTACTTGTGGAAAATTTATTATTCTCTCTTATTTTTAATTAGGGTAAATAGAACAGAACGTCCATATATTTCGATGTCATTGTGCAAAACGTCCATACCTTTCATTTTTTGGCATTTTCACCATTACCTTCCACAATTCATTGCGCAAAAGGTCCCTTTCAACCATTTTTCCAATAAAAAGGTGATTTTACCCTTCTATTCAAAAAGAAAAAAACAAAGAAAAATAAATAACCAATTGCAATCATAGTCCTAAATATTTCAAAATATTACAGATAAAGTCTTAAATTCTCCACCACCACCACCACCAAGCCGCCATCTAATCTACATAGCACCACCTTCTGGCCACCACGCCCACCAAACTCCACCACCACTAGGCTCGCTTCACTCTTCTCAACATCATCTCCCATAGTATTAGTCACAAAATCTGTCGAAAATAACCACATTTGCAGCCTAAAATACCAAATTGCCGTGTACAACCCTTCACGACAACCCCACTTTCGGCGCCACCCACGGTCGCACACTACGATCGATGGTTACCCCATCACCTCGACGAATCTATACATGGCCTCACATCAATCTCAAATCATTCTACTGTAATCTAGACATTCGATAATGGGGACGTCCATTTTGCCAAACTCTTTTCCTTCAATTCATGCATCTCACTGCACTAAATCTTCAAATTGGCATCAATCGAACCATCAACAAACCCAAAGACAATGTGTATGAATCTAATTGAACCAATTATCCCCCAACCGTATCAATTTCTAATCAAAAACTTTCCACGGGCGCGATGCACGGAGAGAACTGTCTACCCAAAAATGGTGGGTCCTGA